AAGATGAAGCTAGGCTGCTTATGATTGTAAGCATGAAGCTAGGCTGCTTATGATTGTAGCTGGAATACAATTGTAAGCATTCTAGCTTCATCTAGAGCCTTGATTAGCTTAAATTTGCATTTAAAATTGGGAAATTATTGTTTTATTTTAATGGAGAATTTCTGGAAAAGAAAAAGAAAATAGGAATCTCAAGGAATGTGCACGTAAATCGAGTGTAGTTTGTAGTTTGGCGCTTCTCGATTTCTCTTTTTCTTTTTGCCGCGAAACTTTGCCCCGTCTGCAAAGGCTGCAAAGAATCTTCTTATTTCTAATCAATTTTATTGATTTCTTTTGTTTTTTTCACCTTTTAATAAGCGAAAATTTCATTGATTTCATTGAAAAATCCGATTTTTTTGCCTTCTATTAAACGCCACTGTCAATAAAATTATCATAAACAAAACAAAAAACATATCAGAATTTGATTTTATAACTGTCAGCTTGTTGAATGACATCCAATTTAACCATTTTAAGCCTCGAAAAACAAAAATATTCTCAAATTGACACTTTTGGGTTCTGAAAAGAAGGGGCACCAATAAAAAAATGCAAATTTTTCTTTGTTGAAACTTTGTGCAAAACTTTTATCGAATTTTTGCCTAGTGACATCCAGAATTGCCAAAAATGATGTCATTTTGGGGTTTTCTCGTATGCAAATTGAGATGCTGGGGTTGAATTGAGAATGGGCTCTTTAGGCGGGTTCTTTTATCGATGGGGACTCGATTTTTTGTTTATTCATCTTTCTGGATGTCATTAGGAATTTTGGGAGGAGAAACAAAAGCCTTTCTTCGGTATCGAATAAAAGTCCTTTTTGGGTGTCGACTCGTAACCCTAGCAGTAACCCTCAGCTACAGTAACCCTCAGCTACAGTAACCATCAGCTACAGTAATACTAGTAAACTACAGTACTATTGAATAGGGGTCCGGCTCAGCTACAATCCAGGATTGTGCCATCCAGGATTGCCAAAAATAATGTCATTTTGGGGTTTTCTCGTATGCAAATTGAGATGGTGCGGTTGAATTGAGAATGGGCTCTTTTGGCGGGTTCTTTTATCGATGGGGACTCGATTTTTTGTTTATTCATCTTTCTGGATGTCATTAGGAATTTTGGGGGGAGAAACAAAAGCCTTTCTTCGGTGTCGAATAAAAGTCCTTTTTGGGTGTCGACTCGTAACCCTAGCAGTAACCCTCAGCTACAGTAACACTAGTAAACTATAGTACTATTAAATAGGGGGTCTGGCTTGGCTACAATACTCCTGTAGGATCTACGGTAAAGCCTTTAGAGCTTCTCTCATCAAGATGTAAGCTTAGTGCAAGCTGAAAAGCTGCAAGATAATGCAAATTTTTCTTTGTTGAAACTTTGTGCAAAACTTTTATCGAATTTTTGCCTAGTGACATCCAGGATTGCCAAAAATAATGTCATTTTGGGGTTTTCCGGTATGCAAATTGAGATGGTGGGGTTGAATTGAGAATGGACTCTTTTGGCGGGTTCCTTTATCGATGGGGAGTCGATTTTTTGTTTATTCATCTTTTTGGATGTCATTTGGAAGGTTGGCGTGAAAAAACAAAAGCCTTTTTTGGTTTTCGAACGAAAAGGGCGCGTAGCCTAGCACAGTAACCCTAAGCAAGCTATAGTACTATTGCACAGGCGTCCGGCCCAACTACGATAACCCTGTAGGACCTGCCGTGAGGCTGTACTTCTTCGAATTTTCTTCATCAGGCTTATGAACTCTTTATCAATTCGCTTATCAAGAAATGAATTCCGAAATTTTCTGAAAATTGAAAGATGATTCATCGGATGACTCTAATGACTCTAATGGCTTTACCGTAGATCCTACAGGGTTATTGTAGCTGAACCGGACCCCTATTCAATAGTACTGTAGTTTACTAGTATTACTGTAGCTCGAATTACCCAAATTTCTCTTCTTTTTCCTGATTTTTCTGTAATTCTGACAAGTCATAGTCATATCTCAAATTTGCAAGATTGGTCACTGAAAGCTGCACAATTTGAGATAATTGGGGGCTGAGAAATAAACTGTTGAGTTGAGAAATCACCTGTAAAATGCAAATCTTGGTACTTTGATACCAAGGTCAGTATCTCCATGAGTAAAAAAGAGGTATGGGGATGACCCCGGAGAGGTATGGGGATAAGGGAGTCATCCCCATCAATCTCCAGACTCATCCCAATACCTCTTCGGAGGTATGGGGATAAGGGAGTCATCCCCATGAATCTTCCGACTCATCCCAATACCTCTTCGGAGGTATAGGGATACTTTGTATCGTAATCCTCGTAATCCAGGGTACTTTGTATCGTAATCCTTCTTTAACCATAGTATTAAAACGGAGTCGACTTTTTCGATCAGAAATCTAAATCAAGATGTGTTGTGCGTTCCAGGATGGTCAGTGAAATCATTTTTAAGTCTGATTAAGGCTACAGTAACCCTAAAAAGTCAGTGGTACTGATGGAATGAGTACTGTAACAGAATCGGCTTTCTAATCTAACTAAAAGACTACCAGAATTTGTTGTGCCTTCCAGAATGCCTATTGTGATTATTGAAATAATCATTGGAACCGTTGGAATCATTGAACCATTGAAATAATCATTGAAATCATTTTCCCCGAGTCTCCTTTGCACTTTTCGATCACTTTTCGATCGATAGGCTCCGTTTTATCGGTTTGAGTCGATTTCCAAAGTCGATTTCCGATTTCCAAATTCCCGAATTCAAAAGCATTTTATTTTTGAGTGTTTTCGTGGGTTCTTGTTTTTTTCGCCAAAAAGCAAATTGCTAGAATGCACTCTATAAATATTCGCTGATTCTACTCAGCTCTAGGAATCCCGTCAACCACTCTGCCTTTCCCTTCAATGCACTCTGCCTTTCCCTTCAGTCACTCTGCCGTCAGCCACTCTGCCTCATCACTCTCACTAAACACCTATCGAAAACAAAACACAAATAGTGAAATGATTCAAATGAACCTTAGAAAACTCGACACACAAAAAGATCTCCGCTAAAAATAAATGCGGCGAAGTGTAAGAGAATCGCGTCAGCCATCTCTGCCTTCCCTCCAGTCCCTCCATCTCTGCCTTCCCTATAAACACTTTTAGGAAACAAAACACAAATAGTGAAATGATTCTAGTGGACTCTAGATAACCCTCTTTAGACAAACAAATCGAACTAACTTCTAATCTAACTTTAAGACTCTATTGAGATGGGTTGTGCCTTCCAGAATGCTCATTGTGATCATTGGCATAACCATTGGAATCATTGGATCATTGGCATAGCCATTGGAATCATTTTCCCGCGTTTCTTTTGCACTTTTCGATCATCGTTAGGGTTTGAGTCGATTTCCAAATTCCCGAATTCAAACGCGATTCATTTTAACGCGATTTTTAAGTGTTTTCATGTGTTTTTGATTTTCTCCAAAAAATCCAATTGCTAGAAAGAAAAGAGTCGACTGATCTAAAGAGTCGATTGATTCTAAAGAAAGAGTAGACTGATTCTAAGAGTCGATTGATTCTAAAGAAAGAGTAGACTGATTCTAAGAGTCGATTGATTCTAAAGAAAGAGTAGACTGATTCTAAGAGTCGATTGATTCTAAGAGTCGATTCAAATGAGCTCTAGAACCGCGTCAGCCATCTCTGCCTTCCCTTCAATCACTCTGCCGTCAGCCACTCTGCTTTCCCTCCAATCCACTATAAACACTTTTAGGAAACAAAACACAAATATTGAAATGATTCTAGTGGACTTTAGATAACCCTCTTGACAAGTAAAAGAAAGAAAATTTCCCGAAAAATCCTTTTGCAGTTGAGCTGTGAAAGGGGAAAGTAAGAGTGAAAAAAAGAAAAAAAAAAAAGGAAAAACGCAAAAACATGTTGTTGACCACGTTCAAAGAACCCTCACCTCCGCATTTTTTTTCATCACATTTTTTTTTTCGATCCCCATTTCTCTCTATCTCTCCTCGAAAAAGGGAACCCTATGTACCATTGGGGAAAATAGAAAATAGACGCGTGGGAATTTGTTGTGAAATGGAAATTTCCAGCAACAAACTAGGGGTCGACAAAAATTCTGAAATTTTTGTAAAAAAAAAATTCATCACATTTTTTGTTCGATCCCCATTTCTCTCTATCGAAAAAGTAACCCTATGTACCATTGGGGAAAATAGACGCGTGGAAAACGGAATTGGTTGTGAAATGGAAATTTTCACCACAAAACTAGGGGTCAACAAAAATTCTTTTGCAAAAAAAAATTTGTAAAAAAATTTTTTTTTTTTTTTTTTTTAAATTGAACTTTTCTAATTTTAAATCAACTGTGTGACATCCAGAATGAAAAAATTTTTTGAAAAAATCAGCGATTTCAAGCCGGCAACAACAATAGCTCTATGATAAAAATCCTTTCTCTCTATCTCTCCTCGAAAAACGAGAAACGGAACCCTATGTACCATTGGGGAAAATAGACGCGTGGGAAACGGAAGTAGTTGTGAAATGGAAATTTTCACCAGAAAATTAGGGGTCGAGAAAAATTCTGAAATTTTTGTAAAAAAAAAATTTTTTTCAAAATTTTTCTAAAATTTTTTTTCTAAAATTTTTTTCAAAATTGAACTTTTCTAATTTTAAATCAACTGTGTGACATCCAGAATGGAGAAATTTTTAAAAAAATTTGCGATTTTTTGAAAAAATCAGCGATTTCAAGCCGGCAACAACAATCGCTCTATGATAAAAATCGAAATTTTACTAATTTTCAAAAATTCCTTCATTTTTGGGTATTATGCATTCCAGCTTTAGCTTTGAATTTAAAAAAATTTTCTTTTTCTTAATTTTCTCGCCCGAAAATGGCTAGCAAACTTTTCTGATCTCGATAAAATCTCGGGTCAAAGAAAGATGATATCTAAAGTTTTTCCTCAACTTTTGTGCGTTCCAGATTTTCCATTGACTTTGAAATCTTATTCAAAATACAACTTAATTTCCCAGGAATGCCAAGCGAGGATCGTTTCGACATCGTCATTTACGGGGCCACTGGTTTCACGGGTTTGCGGTGTATCACCTCGTACGTTAGCTCGAAGCTATTCAAAGTGAGTCAGATTTGTGTCAGATTTGAGGCAGATTTGAGGCAGATTTGTGTCAGATTTGTGTCAGATTTGAGTCAGATTTGAGGCAGATTTGAGTCGAAAATAGCCTAAATTTCGATTTAATTTAGGGTATCACTTTGGCGGTGGCTGGAAGAAATGAGACGAAATTGCGGCAAGCGCTTGACAAAATTTCCATTGAAACGGGTGAGCTTGTATCTCATTTTTACATCAAAAATAATCATCTCATTAGTATTTCTTAGAGTATTTTCGAGTTAGGACTTCTGAATTAGGACAGGCGTACTTGAGGATGATGTCTTAGAGATGATGGCTTAGAGATGATGTCATAGAGATGATATCTTAGAGATGATATCTTAGAGATGATGTCTTAGTCCCGTAATCCGCAGGAAATAGAATTGGCATTTATTGTGTGTTTGTGAAAAGCCAAAATTAATTCCGGACAGAGGAATCGATTTCCTGGAAGTCATCTGAGTGAAGGGATTGGAAATAGGGCCGAGATTTCAGAGGGAGCTAGAGCTTTCCGGAGCTAGAGCTTTCCGGAGCTAGAGCTTTCCGGAGCTAGAGCTTTCCGGAGCTAGAGCTTTCCGGAGCTAGAGCTTTCCGGAGCTAGAGCTTTCTGGAGCTAGAGCTTTCTGGAGCTAGAGCTTTCTGGAGCTAGAGCTTTCTGGAGCTAGAGCTTTCTGGAGCTAGAGCTTTCTGGAGCTAGAGCTTTCTGGAGCTAGAGCTTTCTGCTATCTTACTTACTTACTATCTTACTATCTTACTTACTTGCTTACTTACTATCTTACTTACTATCTTACTTACTTACTTACTTACTTACTTACTATCTTACTTACTTGCCTACCTAATTACTTACTTGCTTACTTACTATCTTACTTACTAACTTGCTTACTCGCTTACTATCTTATTTACTATCTTACTTACTTACTTACTTACTTCCTTCATCAAAAATCATCCAAATTTTTCACCAAAGCATTTTTCAATAAAAAACTGAAAAAATTCGGAATTTTTCCGTGAAACAGCTGTGCAAATTGTGATGAATTGCAGAAGACTTTCGAAAAATTGAAAAGCAAATATTTGGAGAGAATAAGGATTTGATTTTGCGATTTGCTAAAGCTTCGAGTAACTTGGGGGATTTAAATCTAAAGCTCTCTTCCACTCTGAAAACTTATCGATGAAATAACTCGAGTTTCCCATTGAAAAATGTTGAATATTTGAAATTTTTTTAGTCAAACTGGAGCTCAACTTAGACTTTGACATCAGAAAAAAATGAGAAAAAAGAAAAAAAACTTTTCAAATTTTGCTCAAAATAGGCGAACAGATGCTGGCAACGAAAAACATTAAACAATCAAATTTGAGCTCAATTTTATAACCATTCTATAACATGCGTTCCAGGAGTGAACACTCGCGATGTATCGATCATTGTCGCCTCCACGGAAGACCCTGAATCACTGCACAAGATGGCGCGACGAGCTCGCGTCATTGTTAACGCCGTTGGACCGGTGCGTTGTCGAAACTAAAGAAAGAAAAGTTAATCCTGGATATCACGTAATACAATAGCGATGAAATATTTTCGAAATACAGCCTCTGCAAGTTAGTGTAGTGGATAGTGAGATTGGCTCGTAGTCTAAGGGTCGCTGGTTCGATTCCCCTGCTAGGAACATTCGTTGTTTTTCAAAATTCTAAAGCTTTTCGAGCAGTGTGCCTTCCAGAACTAAACTTAACAATGTCAGAAAGTCAAGATTGTAAAGTTTTGGCCGATTTTAAGCTATCATCTCTGATTACTCGCTGTCATGAGTGGTAAGGCTCTGTTTTTTTTTCTCCAAAACATTTATTGCCTCTAAAAATTGTCAAAATGTCAAAATTGAATGATAAAGTCGAAATCCGCGTTGCTCTATTTATTTATAATATTTATTTTGGTGAAATTGAGGCTTATCAACATTTAGAAAAGGCAAAAAAGGCAAAAAAGGCAAAAAAAGACAAAAAAAGACAGAAAAAGACAGAAAAAGGCAAAGAAAAGACCAAAACGCCAAAGAAAAAAAAGGTAAAACCAGTTATCAGCAAGTGTCAATGGGCTCCATAGTGTCTTGTTGATTGGAGAAAATTTTCTAGGGAATCAATTTGGGGAAAGATATTAATTGGAGGAAAAGAAGTTAAGGGATCCACCGAAATTGGATTCTGATCAGAAAATCGTTTAAATATTCATAATCAGAAGATTTGTCTTATCAAAGTTGTTAGGTATCAAATAAGCTCTTCAGCTCTTGTAAGCCTAGATCAAACCAGATCCAACCCTGGCTTCTAACTGTTCTTTGAACCAGGTCCACATGTCTTTTATGAGATTTAACAGTTAAATGAGCTTGCAGAAAGACGAACAGGTTTAAGATTTGGTTAAAGCCGTTTAGAATCAGGTTCAGAGGCTGGAGACTTCTGGATTAGGAGAGATGTACTTGAGGATGATGGCTTAGAGATGATGGCTTAGAGATGATGGCTTAGAGATGATGGCTTAGAGATGATGGCTTAAGGATGATGTCTTAGTGATGATGGCTTAGAGATGATGGCTTAGAGATGATGGCTTAGAGATGATGGCTTAGAGATGATGGCTTAGAGATGATGGCTTAGAGATGATGGCTTAGAGATGATGGCTTAGAGATGATGGCTTAGAGATGATGGCTTAGAGATGATGGCTTAGAGGTGATGGCTTAGAGATGATGGCTTAGAGATGATGGCTTAGAGATGATGGCTTAGAGATGATGGCTTCGTGATGATATCTTAGTGACGATATCCTAGAGATGATGTCTTAGAGATAATGTCTTAGAGTTGATGTCCTAGAGATGATATCTTAGAAATGATGCCTTAGAGATGATGTCTTAAGGATGATATCTTAGAGATGATGTTTCATTGCTCTAGCTCTTACGAGCTTCTTATTCTCTTTGGGAATAAATCAGACTAGCTGTCGGGAACTTCACCCATCAAATCAACTCTAAACTTTTCCCAACAAACCCAAGATGATTTTTCATTGACTCAATCCTTAGCTTTATCTCAGTTATAAAATAAGAAGACAGCCCACCTTTTCCCTTTTCCCTTTTCCCTTTTCCCTTTTCAACTGTCATTTTCAAAAAAATATTCTCTGATTTCTTCAATTTTCAGTGATCAGATTGGCGTTTTTAATCAGCTGATCAAAAAAAGGAAAACGATTGACGGGTTGATAAGGAAATTGGATTGATTGGGTTTAGAAGGGGGAAATTGCTGCATGGAGAAATGGGATTGGGAAATGGAAATGGGCAAGAAGAGTTAGCGCAAAAGTGCGCGGGAAAGATAAACAGAAATTTTGTAAACTGTAGCTTCTAGACATTTTTCTGCGTTCTGTGTTCATTGAGTTTTCAAAAAAAGTGTTAAAACCTAAAGCCTTTTTTAGTATCGTCTTCATGGAGAGGCTGTGGTTAAAGCAGCTGTTGAAGAAGGAGCTTCACATGTCGATATTTCAGGAGAACCGGCGGTTAGTTCTTGAAATACAGTGAATCAAGCTATCAAGCTAGATCTTGATCAGCTAGATTAGCTAGATCTTGATCAGCTAGATCTTGATCAGCTTGATCTTGATCAGCTTGATCTTGATCAGCTAGATCAGCTAGTTCAGCTAGATCTTGATCAGCGTGATCAGGTAGATCTTGATCAGCTAGATCAGCTTGATCAGCTAGATCAGCTTGATCAGCTAACATCAGCTAACGTAAATCAATTGTAAATCAATTACAAATCAACTAAATCGTTTAAATTTAAATTTCAGTTTCTCGAGAAGATGCAGATGAAATATGGTGAACTTGCAAAGGAAAAAGGCGTCTATGTGGTTGGCGCATGCGGATGGGATTCAATTCCAGCTGATTTAGGAGTCAACTACTTAAAGGTTCTTTGTAAAGCCTGTAACTCAAGCGAATCTTCTTCAGAAACATTTCCCTGGTGATCTCAATCATGTCGAGACCTTTGTCCAACTATTGACTGGTCCAGCGGTGAGTAAATTGAGCCAATCAAAAGCTCTCGCTCTAAACAAAGCAAATTGACTTATTTTCGGAACTCCCCGTTAGCTAAAGACCAAAAAAAAGCGAGAATTTGGCTGCGCCCGGGATCGAACCCAGGCCCCAGGTCTTAGGCGCTCGCCTCATAACTGCCCTCGTTACCCACTGCGCCATGAGGTCAACGTTGGGTATTTGAACCGGAAATTTCACCAAAACCTCTTGTGACATCCAGTTTCCCCAAAAACAAAGTAAGTTTGACTTAAATCAAAAGATTTCAGGTTGAAAACGAGGCAAAGTTGTGATTTTTTGAGAAAATGATAGGAAATGACAAGCAATTGTCAGCTACAAAATATTCAAACAAGACAAACCTTTTGTAAAAGCTAAAGGCTTAAAAAGGCAAAAAAAAGCGAGAATTTGGCTGCGCCCGGGATCGAACCCTGACCCCAGGCCCCAGGCGTTCGCCTCATAACCGCCCTCGTTACCCACTGCGCCATGAGGTCAACGTTGGGTATTTGAACCGGAAATTTCACCAAAATCTCTTGTGACATCCAGATTCTCCAAAACCTCAATCATATCGAGAGCTTTGTCCAACTATTGACTAGTTCAGTGAGTAAAACTAAATTGAGCCAATCAAAAGCTCTTGCATTTAAAATGCATTCCAGCATTTGATAAAAATTTCTAATTCAGGGTTATTCTTTCAACGCTGGCACCTATCAAACGCTCGTATTAGGCATCTCGTCAGTCATGAGTGACAAGTTGGGACAAGTAAGGCAATTAAAGAAAGGCAATTAAAGAAATCAATGCTGTCACATCCAATTTAATCATTGATAAGAGAAATTGAGCACTATTTCTTTAGATTCGTCGTCAGATCATGCCTGAGAAGATCCCTCGATCAGCTATCCGACCGCCAAAGCGGTTTTTTTAACGTTTCTCTTTCGTAAAATTCGATTTTTAGGGGTAAACTCTGGCAAATCGATGCCGGGGAGTTGAACGGTGGCTGGGCTTTACCATTTATGGGCTCTGATAAGTCGATTGTTCAACGTTCACAGTATTATCAATATGTCGAAAAACAGGAAAGACCAGTGAGTGGAAACAAGAATTTTAATCACCCAGACATCATCCTTAAGACATCATCTCTAAGCCATCATCCTTAAGCCATCATCACTAAGACATCATCCTTAAGACATCATCTCTAAGACATCATCTCTAAGCCATCATCCTTAAGCCATCATCACTAAGACATCATCCTTAAGACATCATCTCTAAGACATCATCTCTAAGCCATCATCCTTAAGACATCATCACTAAGACATCATCCTTAAGACATCATCACTAAGACATCATCCTTAAGACATCATCACCAAGAATTGGAAGGCATATTGAAAGATAAAAAAAGAGAAATCCTTTGTTTCAACTGATTTAACTGATCTAAGTGAATCTAAATCTTCCAGGTGGCCATTGAAACCTATATTCGGATTGGTTCACTTCTTTGGGCCGTTTTGTTAGTTGTTTGGGTGTCGATTTTCTCGCTTTTCTGTATGTGGACTCCGACAAGACGTTTCTTACAGAAATACCCGGATCTATGCAGTTTTAACATGTTTAAGGTGAGTGAAAAGTTAGGGTCTACCCCAAAACAGCGCCGACCAAAACAGCGGCGCCAAAACAGCGCCTGTACGGCGTACGTTGTACAGGCGCTGTTTTGGCGGCGCTGTTTTAATTGGCGCTGTTTTGCCGGGGCGCGGTTTTAATCCGTTAGGTTAGGTTAGGTAAAACAAGAGAGTCTGTACGCCGTACGCCGTACAGGCTCTGTTTTGAGCGTTTTTTCATTGGCGCTGTTTTAATTGGCGCTATTTTGAGTGGCGCTGTTTTAATCGGCGCTGTTTAGACCCAAAAGTTATAAACATTTAGGCTATAATCTTTTAGATTAATCAAAATTTGAAAAATTTGAAAAATTGACTCTTTTCAGAACGCTGGCCCGACTCAAGAGCAAATGGAACAAGCTGGTTTTATCTATTGGTTTATTGGAAGCGGATATAGTGAGCGGAAAAGCCTAAACGAACAACACCAGGGACAACCGGATAAAAGAGTCAGTCAGTTCGTTGTTGAGTTAATTCTTGAGCTCAACCTCAGCATTCTTCAACACTTAGCCTAGCTAAAGTTTGTCTAAATCTTGAATCAAATGGGAAACAGTTGCCTAAACAATCTCAAACTCTTTCCATTCCATTAAAATCCATTTCATCAGGTGGTGGTATCTTGCCGCGGGCCTGACGCTGGCTACATAGCTACTTCGGCAATGGTCATGTCCTCAGCCCTCGCTATCATCAACGACAAAAAAACTTTACCGAAAAAGTAATTTTTAACCATTGAAAAGCCTTCAACGCCATCCAGAATAATCAAAAAAAAAAAAATCAAAAATCCCTCAACATTTCAGCGGCGGCGTCTACACAACCGCCTCCGCTTTCGCTGACACAAAAATCTACGAGTATTTGCGCGATTTTGGCGTCACTTTCCAAGTAATTGATTTATTTTCGGAAATCAGGAACACCCAGTTAGCTAAAGGCCAAAAAAGCGAGAATTTGGCTGCAGCCGGGATCGAACCCAGGCCCCAGACCCCAGGCGTTCGTCTCATAACCGCTCTCGTTACCCACTGCGCCATGAGGTCGAGTTGGGTATTTGAACCGGAAATTTGACCAAAACCTCTTGTGACATCCAGATTCCTCAAAAACAAAGTCATTTTTGACTTAAATCAAAAGATTTTAGGTTGAAAACGAGGCAAAGTTGTGATTTTTTGAAGAAAATGATAGGAAATGACAAGCAATTGTCAGCTACAAGATATTCAAACAAGACAAACCTTTTGTAAAAGTTAAAGGCTTAAAGGGGCAAAAGAAAACAAAAATTTGACCGCTTCCGGGATCGAACCCAGACCCCAGACCCCAGGCGTTCGCCTCATAACCACGCTCGTTACCCACTGTGCCATGAGGTCGAGTTAGGTATTTGAACCGGAAATTTCACCAAAATCTCTTGTGACATCCAGATTCCTCAAAAACAAAGCAATTTTGACTTAAATCAAAAGGTTTCAGGTTGAAAACGAGGCAAAGTTGTGATTTTTTTGAAGGAAACGATAGGAAATCGAAAGGAATTTCACTTTTTTGTCTTAAAATCTTAAAATTCTTAAAATCGTTTTCTCTATCAAATTTTAGTTGATTTTTATTGAAAATTTCGCTTATTTTTTGAGTCTTGTTGATAAAAAAATGCAAAATTTACATTAATTAAAAAGCGTTTAATTTTATTAACACTTTGCGAAAATGCACTCAAAAATTGCAAATACATAAAAAATGTAAAATTTTTGAAAAAAAAGACATAATTGGCACCATTTGACAACTGAAAAAAAGCAAAAAAAAAGCAAAAAAAAGCAAAAAAAAGATGAAAAATACGAAAATATCACATAAAATTTTTTTGAAAATTTACATAAATTTTGGCGAGGAAAAAATGAATGGACCGGGTGTTTTATTCAAATTTTTTAAAGAAAATTGCGAATATTTTGAAAGAAAAAAGCTTTTAGATACACTACTGGACAATGAAATATCGTATTTGAAAAAAAGGATCGTCACTTTCGCGCGCCTAGATCTAGAGCTGTTAGATCTAGAGCGGCTAGATCTAGAGGGGCTAGATCTAGAGGGGCTAGATCTAGAGCTGTTAGATCTAGAGCTGTTAGATCTAGAGCTGTTAGATCTAGAGCTGTTAGATCTAGATTCATTAGATCTAGAGCTGTTAGATCTAGAGCCTCTATTTGTTTCTTGAAAACTGACTGAATTGTGGCTGAATTTCTCGTACGTACAGCACTGGACAATGAAATATGATATTTGAATATTTTGAAAGACAAAACATTTTAGATAAATATTGATAGATTTTCAGTAAAAAAATTTGATAATAAACAAAAGTAAAAAAAATTTTTTTTACCAGACGGAATCGAACCACGACCCCCAGATCGGCAATCTTAACTCTTACCCACTGGACTATAGATGAAATCATTTTGGGACTTAAAAATATAGATCTAATGGATGTTGTGCGTTCCAGGATGTACAAAGAGCCAAAAATTGGAGTATTTGTGATGATTCAATAGCTTAAAATCAGCTCAAATTCAAATCGTGACTTGTTTTTTTCAAAATTTTACAAAATTCAGTAGCTAGATATTGGGAAATCATCTGTGCATTCCAGAATCAACTATCTGAGCATTCGGACGAGGTTGGGCTGCTTGGTGGCGCTAAACCGGTGTGCACGGTGATCGCCGAGTGACAATTCACAGCAAATGCTGGATAGTAAAGGCCACGGGGGATGTTTCTAAAGGAAAATGAAAATAGTCATTTTTTAGCAACAATAAAACCGTAATTTGAGCAATTTATGACATTCTACCGTACCTGAACGCGACGGTCTCTTTCTCGAAGGCGCGTTTTCGGTCGTTGATCGTGAACGTGAGCGTCCCGCGGTCACAATCCAGCCGAACACCTGAAGGTTTGAAATTTAAGTGATCTGGAGGCTCAGGCTCAGGCTCAGGCTCAGGTTCAGGCTTAGGCTTAGGCTTAGACTTAGGCTTAGACTTAGACTTAGGCTTAGGCTTAGGCTCAGGCTCAGGCTCAAGCTTAGGAATTTCTGTCCAGCCTACCGTGCTTGTAGATTATTTAAACGTGTCCAAGCTATCGTCCCCAGTTACCGTTTTGGCTACCGTCCTATCGTACTCTAAGCCTAAGCCTAAGCCTAAGTCTAAGCCTAAGCCTAAGCTTAAGCCTAAGCCTAAGCCTAAGCCTAAGCCTAAGCCTAAGCCTAAGCCTAAGTCTAAGCCTAAGTCTAAGCTTAAGCCTAAGCTTAAGCCTAAGCCTAAGCCTAAGCCTAAGTCTAAGCCTAAGTCTAAGCCATTTGAGAGTTCAAGCTAGTTAGTGTAGTTCTTACCGATGACTGAGCCTTTCGAGATGCCGCCTGAGATTCGGTGATGATGGGTTTCGTTGTGGAAATACCGAGATCTTTCTGCATCAACATACATCGACCATCCATGTAAATCCTTTCCTGAAAAGGCGCAGGATTATTTAGAACCATGAAAGCATAGATATTGCAGAGATTTTACTCACCTAGCATCACATTTCTGTTCACTGAGGGTTGCGCAACTCCAACAACGACATCGGCATTCGCGTCATATCTGTCGACGGTTACTTCCCAATAGTGAACTCCCTGAAATTTGGTTTTGAAGGAATGGGGATCCTTGGGATGTTGAGAGATCTTGAGAGGGTACAGTACTATAATAAGATTCTAAAGGTCTAAAGGTAAGTCAGATCAGTTCCGTGGTGCCTATAAGAACTACTTGGAGTGCAGAGTGCATTCCAGAAGCCCGGAACTTGCTAACAATTTTAGGTACAGATGCAAGCCTGCCTTCTGGCTGACCCAGGAACTATTTTGCTTTCTGTACCTGAGCTCTATACCTTTCAGAAGCCAGATTTCAACTGCTGACACAATACAGCTTGACTAGTGGCTAGTTTTTGGATTTTTGTACCGTTTTACCAGGACCTAGCCAGCTCACAGCTCGCCGAAGCCAGCCCGAATCCTCGAGCAAGACTGATCAGTTCCAGTACTTTGTCTTTTACAGTACGGTAAGCTCAGGATCAAGTCAAACAATTTCTCATACTCATTTAGATTTTACAGTAAGACTTGGTCAATAGCTTACCTTCGAGAAAGCGATACTCCCGAGCACTGTGCGGTGTTCGATCGTCGTTCCCGTTAACGTCATGCACTCATTTGTCAACTGCATATCCCGTTGTGATGGGCTTTTCGTCAATTGAAACCAGGCGACTGAAAAGTTTATTTTGCTAAAGGCCTGAAAAGCCAAAAAAAAAAAGCGAAAATTTGGTCGCTCCCGGGATCGAACCCAGACCCCAGGCCCCAGGCGTTCGCCCCATAACCGCGCTCGTTACCCACTGCGCCATGAGGTCAAAGTCGGGTATTTGAACCGAAAATTTCACCAAAATCCCTTGTGACATCCAGATTCCTCAAAAACAAAGCAATTTTGACTTAAATGAAAAGATTTCAGGTTGAAAACGAGGCAAAGTTGTGATATTTTGAGAAAATAATCGAAAATGACAAGAAATTACATTTTTTTGCCTTTTTTTGCCGTTGATTGCAATTTGGTATAAAAGATTTTCAAACAAGACAAACCCTGTGCCGTTTGTAGACAAATCGACTCACTGTAGACACTCTCGCCGGCTGAGTTGAAAGCTTTCACCCGCGCGGCGTACATCGTATTGAAATGGAGTCCATCAATTGTACAAATCGTATCCGGACCAGAGTAGACTTCCTGAAGCATAAAAAATAGTTGTAGCCTTTAGATTTTCAAAAGCTGGAACGCAGCAAAGAGTTTGGCAAAGGGATTTCTCCTTTTCTCCTTTTCACTCACTTTGAACACGCCGTCATCTCTGCCGGTGTCGATCTCGAGTGCATAACCATCAATCGCGCACCCGTCTAGCCTGGGTCGCCAAACTAAAATTCGATTCTGGATATCACGCTTTAATATAAATCTATCGAATTGACTCTTACTTAAAATTAGAAAAAATTGAGTTAGAGATTTGAGTTCAAGCAAAAAAATTAAGCAAAGGTTTATTTAAAAGAAAAATTTTGAAAGCTAATGGTTAAATTGGAGTTCACGAAATCGAATGGGATCATTAAAATCAGAAATTTTCAATTTCTAAACTTTTGCAATAACCCACCAAGCGTGACAGAGTTATTCTCTGCAGAGCATTCGGCCGCGTCGAATCCCGGTGAAGAGGGGACTAAAATTATCAAAATTTTTCAGGAAAATAAGAAAAAAACATAGTGCCAGTGTCCATGCTTTTCAAATTGCGAAATTGCTTAATTTTTATACAACACAATACTACAGTAAAGAGGTTTTTCCATCTTTTCAGAACCTTTACTCGAATCGCCAGCGATTCGTCGACTCTGAGAGCCTAAAGGCGATTTTGAAACTGATTCTAGCTAATCCTGGATGTCACATAGTAAGATAGGATTCTTAGTTTTAAAATACCTTTATGCTGAGCAAAGTCAAGGGTGCCGATCGCGTAGTGGATGTGCTTTGTGTCCAAGTTGAGCACAAATTCGGGGTCGATCTGAAATTTTTTGGTTATTCTGGAGGTCATTGCACCTTTTGGGATAGATTAGATGGAAAGAGGGCGCAAAAATTTCTGTGGCTTTTCTCCGGTTCAATTACACGATCCATACCTCGGGTTTCGTTCGCATTTCGGTATGCCAAAGGAATTCCTGACTGCTTGAGCGGTGTAACATTGCGTTAGAGATCTGAAAGCGATGATGGTTTTATATAATTATAACCATTTACCAATAGATAAGTCGCTGGATCTGGCTCTTTCAAAACCTCGATCCCGAATTGAATCAACGCTGTCGTTTTGCCTAATTTATTTGTGCAACGGCCGATTTGATCGCGGAGAACACGACGCTAGAAAAATTGAGATTGAGATTAAATCGTTTTCTCAATCGTTTTCTAAATCGTTTTCTAAAAGATTTCTACTTTTTTAACTCAAGTTATTTCAGAAAATTCGATTTTTTCGACTCTAAACTAGACTTCGGAAAACAAAACTTAACCAAAACCACCAAAACCAAAACAAACCAAAACCAAAACCAAAACAAACCAAAACTCGCCAATATCTCGCGATTAGGAGGAGCTAGCGAAAATCTGTTTGCAGATTTGAAATCAGCGTCCAAAAATCTATCCCATAGGCTATTTTTTGTTTCGAAATTTCGAGGTCGTGTTTTGGTCCTTTTTTTCGGTCCCCGAGATTTTGGGGAGTGAGAAAAAGTGAAAGGCATATTTGCATTTTACAATTTTAGATTTACATGTTAATTTATATGCAAATTGAGTTTTGGTTTGTTTTGGTGTTTTGGTTTTGGTTTTGGTTTGTTTTGGTTTTGGTTTTGTTTGCCGAACTCCACTCTAAACGATTTTGAAAAAATTTCTACAACTAACTGTTTAATATTTCGATTCTTTTATAAGTTCTGGAAGTCACTAGAGATTTTGATTGAGTTAAAAAGGTCATAACGAAAAAAAAAT